AAGTGCTGATTCTCTGTCTGTTACTTTAGATGAAAATAAGGAGCCCCTCCCCACGCCCCTCAGAGAGAGATTTGGTTAAAAAGAACACAATGGTGCTCTAGGAGGAGATTCAGGTGATAAGGTGTGGGGGGGGGGTTACCTTGGTTGGTGATTGGCTAATGGTTACACAAGCCAAAACATCGTTATGACATCATGAGGGGCCAACATCTGATCAGCTCATTTTCAGACAGGTTTTTATATAAATGGATCAGGACAAAAAGAGAGAGAATCTTTTTTCCTGAAACTTTCAGAATCTCTTTACACAGAGGGGACACATGTTGATGTAGAAGAGACATGAAGAAGAGGATTTTGCATAAAAGGTCACCTTTAAGACATTCAAACAAGTAATGGCAATGAACTGCATTCATCTATTCACTCACATCCATACAAAGGCAGAGGCTGCTATACAAGGTGCCACCTGCTCAGGGAAACATTCACACACTCACACACCATTGGTCATATTTGGCCCAAGGACAAGTTATAGCAATTGTAGGGTAGTGAAGTATTGGTTGTGTTTTTGTATTGGTGTGTGGGTGGTGGTCTACCGGTGACCGTGTTGGTTGTACAAGCCTGACAGCTGCAGGAAGAAAGTATCTGTGGTATCTCTCAGTGAAGCAGCCTGTCACTGAAGGAGCTGCTCAAACAACAAAGTCTCTTGCAGGGGGTTGGACATTTTGTCAAACGGGGATTCAAACAACAACAAAAATACCACAAGATGGATTCACAGGTTTCCCCTGTCAACAGGCTGTCATGGTTGAATTATACAGTGTTAAGCTGTCTGCAGGAGATAACACATCACCGATACTCGTTAGAACAATCTCTTCTGTTTTGCTAATGGTTTGAAGCTTTATTTTCTCACACTGTGCATTTGATTTGGCCTTGGGGCTAAACTCTGTCTGAATGTCTGGTCTCAGCTAACGACATACTGTGCTGATTTTAAATGATGCGGTTTTGTTTTCCAGAGCAGCAATTAAGTCTATGGCTGTCATAGAAGGTGACAGTAAATGAGTGAGTCAGTGTCAGCACGATTCTTCCGATGCAATTTATCAGAGCAAACTTCTGAGTGTCAGCTGCTTTGTGTTGCCATAAATCTCAAAATAATTGTTAACCCGAGGTCAGTCCTCAGTTATATTCACAATGTTTCTTTAGTAAGCTTTAGTACTTTTTCAGACAAAAGTACCAAGGAGAAAGTTCATCAATATTAAACAACTCATTAAAGAAGCTGACGTATTTAATACAGTTTTAACGACATTTGATGTGAATTATGGTAGCCGAGCTTGTTGACTTTTCTTTGAACAAGTTGGCACAGCTTCCGGTGATAATCGATAATAAAAAACACATAATCTGATCAGATGTTGCTGTAAATCCTACTCAGATGTCTTAATTTATATTATTTAATTTAATATTCTATTGACATGTGTATAGAATAATTTCATTGCCATTTCTACACTGTAGCTTTGAGCATATGACAATAAAACCTTGAGTCTTGAATATTTGAAATGGTGGAAAGAAAGAAACATTCGTTCAAGTGCCGTACAGCTTTTAAGGTTTTAATTGTTAGTCGATGACTGTGGCTGCGAGGTGGGGTCGTCTTTCAATCGTAAGGTTGTGGGTTCGATCCCAGTCCCTGCAGTCAGGGTGTTGATGTGTCCGTGTGCAAAATACTGAACTCCAACGCTGTGTGCATGTGTGTGTACAGTATGTTAGCTTACTGGAGCACTTACAGAGCACTTTGGAGGTTAATGATGACTTGTAGAATGTAAAGTGCTTTGAAAGGTAATGAAGACTGGATCAATATAAACACGGTCCATTTACCATCAGAAAAGTTCCAAGTTAGATATTATTAATACAAAATATAAAACAAATACATAGTGATGTATTATTTTAGGACAAAATTACATTTATTTATCACCAGAGGGTTATTCAGAAGCTTCTCATTAGTATGTCAAAGTAATGAAATTAGCTCTACCTTTACAAGCTGCAACATAAAAGGATGAACACGTCAATGCATAAACAGAACTAGTACTGTTCCCAAAAGGGCCATTCTGCATACTTTTGATCATATTTGGCCTGTAACAGTATTTTTAACATTAATGCATTTACTTAAGTTAAAGGTCTGAAAAGACTTCCAGCACTGCTTATTGCAATTTATGTAAATTAGGTAAAGGTATATGACTTTGAGACCATGCAATACAGCCCTATGCCCTAAACTTTTCCAAACCCTGTGAGGAGTTTGCACAGCCTGACAGACAGGAAAACAACCACAATGTACGCTGTGTGAGATATTTTTGTCCTAATTAGCGAGTGAGCGCACAGCAAACCCAAAAAAAATTCAGACAAATGTCAGAGACTGTAGTCATCCAAAACAGGAAACAGAAATGTTACATCAGTTGCTTGGGACTCACCACTTTACATTTCTGCTTGCTTAACCATAAAAGCTGGATTAGTGTTTTAGTGTCATGAAAGAATAAGTCCTATACTTCACATTTCTACTATTCTTCTCCCCCTGGTATAATCAATGGCCCTGTTTAGTATCTTCCTGTTCTGGTTCCTTTCCAATTAGATTTATCGAGTATGGATTGAAAGTCTTAGAGCACATTTTAATCAGAAAGTGTGAAGAGTAACTCTTTCGTGCTTGTTATGTTGCATGCTGTTTAGTCTTTATTCCACATAAAATGTCCTGGCTTTCTTCTGCCTTAACACATCTTGCTGACAGAGGACCGAGCTGAGCTTGGTTGCATGCAGGAGGAAGAGTGGGAAGAGTTAACCTCTATTGATCACAACAAAACTCCTGCAGCTTTAAATGAACGCGGAGAAGCCCAAGACACACTGAATACAACATCCACTGCAATTGCCAAATCAGGATCTCCTCATGTCCGTGTGTCTTCACACTAGGCTATTGATTCAGAATCAATTCACTAATCGCGGTCAGAGAGCCATGATTGTTTTGTCTCTGTTCTGACTTGTTTAGGAGAAACTGAAAGTCTGTTTGCACAAATGAAACACCTTTTGCAGACCTGCAGCTCTGATTGTGTGCCTCACAAAGACAGTCAAACATCACGTCACGTCCTTATCAGTCTGCCCCTCAGCCCCTTTTACAAATATTGGTGACCAAAGAAGGATGACAGTTCAAACATTAGAGCCCCTGTTGCATCTGCAGACAGCAGTGTGACCTTTCGGGCATGCATTAAAAGGGTGCAGTGACCATAATTAGAACTGAGGTTACACCAGGAAAAAACGGCATGGTTAAAAAAGTAATTTAGGAATAATTAGCTTAAAACAATGCAGAAATAAAAAAAGTTAGACCTATTTTTATTTCCTGTAGAAATAGAGTATGTGCATGTTTTTTCGTTGATTATATGCAGACTCTTGGATGCACGTCAGAAGCTCTTCAGTCAGGTTTAAAGGCAGATCTAAAAGAGAGGCACGCGCCACATCCACCTGTCGACCGCCCCACTCTGCACGGATAAGTGATTACACTGTTGACACGTGAAATACCAATAGGTTAAGAGTGCGGAACCTTAGCAACCTGCGCGAGTTGATTTGTGCAAGACGCGCGCATCTCTCCAGGCGCACGAGGCTCCGCGCTGGATCTCTCTGCGCTCATATTCTGTATATGAAAACTCAGTACGGTATGTGTGATTTAATTTTCTCTCCAATTCCACATGTGATGTTTCAGTTTATCTAGTTTTAATTGAATTAGGTCTCACTCAAATCCAGCTGGCTACAGTAGAGCTGAATGGAGAGAGATGGAGATGTTGTAAAGAAATGCGTCAGTTCTTTATCTCAAAGGGTTTTTCATATGATTGAGTTTAGGGAATTGTTATGTTTGATAGATACTTTTTATCTGAATATTGTCCGTGATTGCATTGCAGTTATACAATCTCCTTTTTAAGACTTAAAATGAAAGAGTAGACTGTTTGTCTCCAATTGTATTTCTTATGTTGGCTGCTGGAAGAAGGGATGCAGTCGGTTAGTCTACAAAACGATTACATCTGAAACGACCTATAGTAGAGTTAATGAGTTTGGAGCCAACCATGAAATCGTTACTTTGTATTTTCATGCTATTTTCATTTTCATACATTTTTTAATTAATTATAACACCTTGTTAGAAACGATATGTGTCTCTTTTAGCAGTTTCCTATTTTGGACTGGTCATCCAAACGAGATTATTAATGAATTCACCCGGAGCATAAATACCTGTATTTCATAATATACTTTTGTCTGAGAGTGATTTCAGATATTTAACTATTTGTGGAATTGTCAAATGTCAAATAATTGTAAGCATGCATGAACAATAGTTCAGACACAATTGAACAAATAATCTGCACAGAATATAATACCCTTTATCATAAAACCCTGTGTTGGTTGACAGATTAGCGTTAATTGTTTATTTACTGCAACAGTTTCATTCTTTTGATGTTTTTTTTAGTTATATCATATACTACTTCTTTGAGACATAAAGTCTCAGTAATGATTACGATCGACATCAGTTTAGGTGAAGCAGAAATCTCTCATCCAGAATTGTCACTTAATCTGATCCACACTTTTCACAGAAATCAATATTATTATCAACACCTTTAATACATCTGAATGGTAAATTAAAAACCTTTGTCCCTGCCAAATGACTCACTGAGTGAATTCGCCATCGATCTGCTCGATGTGTGTATATGCTCCCATTATCTAGCAGTCATTATGTTGCCATATGATTATTGCATTTAATCAATGTGAATTGGAACCATCAGTGCTGTTTATTGTGCACATGTAAATAAGTCCAGAGCCATGCAACAGCCTTCAGCTATTCAGTGTTTCTGCTGAAGTTAAGAAAATCTGATGAGCTAAGGGAAAGGCACCTTACTCACAGGGAAAGACAACCTGCAAGCAAACATACCTCATTTATTTAAGCCTTCATAACGCTATCAAACACACCGTAATTAGCCAAGAGAAACCCTTTCTTTGTTCTGACAAAATAAAGTTTGTCAGCACAGTTCCCTTTGAAACTACACTGGACTTAATAAAATGTCATCACAAGGACAAGTATTATAATTGGACAGAGTTCACTCTGCTCAACTGTAAAGCTCGTCTTCATTCACAAAGGATTGTAAAAAGAGGGACATTATTTAAAGGGGTCCTATCATGCAAAATACATAAATATGTGTGTGTCAGGGAACTCACAAAGTGTCAGAAAACAAAACCCTCTCTCTTTTCCTCCGTACCCAAATCTCTAAAAACGGGGGAACAACGGAGCTGATCCAGATTTGTGTCCGATATGACGTAATATCTGCAATGTGGACCCACGGCCCTATCAGAAAGTTGCTATTAGAAACAATGCCTGACCTGTTTCGGGAGTCATATGGTCTTTGTTTACATTAGTAAGTATCGCTAACACTCAGAGCTAACTATACTGGAGAGAGTATGTGTAAAAAAGCAGGAAATAAAAAAAGGAACTCACCTTGTGGCAGTGTTGTAGTAAAGTCACCAATTCACGAGTCCAACTCACTCTCCAGTCCCCACTTTTCGAGTCCGAGTCCAAGTCTAAGTCACCTAGGGAGAGTCGGAGTCGAGTCACCCAAGGAGTGTCCGAGTCGAGTCCGAGTCATCATTACCTGTGTTCGAGTCACGAGTCCAAGTCCGAGTCACCCAAGAAGAGTCCAAGTCAAGTCAGAGTCACAAGTCTTCATGTATTAATCTTAATGGATATTTGTTGAAATGTAGCTGTAGCTCCTCTACATTGCTTTTATCCTGTCATGTTATACTAATGTGTCTATTGAACTGCTGTGAAGCGAGTTTGGCTACAATTCTTGTATAAAAGGTGCTATACACATATAAAGCTTATTAACAATATTATTGTTATTATTATTTTTATTATTGTAAATTACCTTTAATATGTCTAACTATATTTAAAATGAGTTACCTTTTAGAGAAGTGATTATATTTGTATGCCAATATTTTTCTTATAGTAAAGTTTTCGTTTTACACTTTTATTTTGATAAGATCGGGACTCTTATTTTGAAAAAACTTTTACCGGAAGTCAATGGACAACGGAGCAGTGTAAACAGTAACACACATGTTTATAATGACGGATTAAGCCCATGGTTGTATAATAACAACTGGATACAGCATGGTTGGCGGGGCCTAGTTCATTCCTATGAGAGTTGCTCATTGGTGCATGAAGACAAAATGGCCCAACTTTTGAGAGAGCAAAAAGTCACGAAAGTATTCATATAATCATATAATCCGTCCTTATTGTGCATCCATGGGTAAACGTTCATACTGGGTAGTTTATTTAGTTTAAAAAAAATGATCCAACGATTTACAGACGTCTCTTTCCCAATATTAGTCAATGGGAAAAAGTATTTCCGGGCCCAGCGACTGATACGGAAGTGTAGTAGCCTACCGCCGTTTGGCCACAACGAATATTTTGAGCCGAGAGTGGGAGCTCGTGGGCGGGGCTTAAGGGGTGCATGCTCTGTGAGCGCACATACGGGTTCTTCTACTCTGGAAGCCAGGCATGACGGGTAATCTGTGACGTTTCGCTCTCTCAAAAGTTGGGCCATCATCGTCGCTTTTCACACCAAGTACTTTGCCGTACTTAGTTCCCAGCACTTAGTTCCCAGCACTTAGTACCCCCATGGAACTAAGAGCCGATCGCGTTCACACCGGAATAAATTCCCTGAGGGAAGATTACGCAAATGAAGCCGCTGACGTCACTTCTTCTTCTTCTGCTATGGGTTTACTGGCAGCCCGCAAACAACTTCACGGCGTATACTGCCACCCGGAGTCCCCGGCCGGAAGTCCCCGGAGTTGGGGACTGGCACTCCCAGCAGCTTCTACTGAAGCCTTCCGAGTAAATCGCCAGAACGCCGACACCTCCTCATCTCCACCGCTCCCATGTTTTTCGATTAGAATTTTATGATCCGAGTCCATCGGATCATCGGGCCTCCGAGTCAGAGTCCATCCGTGCGCCGAGAAATTCAGCGAGTCCGAGTCGAGTTTTGCGTTCCAATCACTACGTTGAGTGCGATCGCGACTCCGAAAATCGGTGCCCAGGACTGAGTAGGACCCCACCTGCCATCGTCCCTGCCGTTGTACTTGCCGCAAGCAGACAAAGCATTTGAAGCTCCATACTGTTTGCAGAAATACATCCTGCTGTGATGTGGGTTGGAAAGGCACTAGATGACGTTTAGTCAGAGCACGGCCCACGCAATTTAACCTGGTATCATGCCCGGTAAGAATTCTGAGCAGGCTGCCCCTCCCTCTTTCTTTTCTTTTTTCCAAACTACAAAGGACGCCAAAAATCCAGCATTTATCTAACAGGGCCTGCGGAATGGGAATATGAGGGATGTCTAAAATGCATGATCTGTTTGGTATTTTGAAAGGGTTTTATTTCGTATTTAATATCTGAGACCCATAATATTTGCTTACAAATAGGCGCAATAATATGTAGACCCTTTAAGTTCCCATTCATTCATCTTAGAGAATGTGCTTTGAAGAAGTGCTGGAAATTCATTTTCCATCAGTTATGTCACATTTCCTTGCTTGGT